GAATTTGTTCCCATCACAAAATTTGGCTCATACTGAAGATTTTTCTAATTTACAATATTCCTCTATCTCTAACCAGATTTAAGCTACAAGCTCTTTAAATAGTGATATAAAAAATTCTCATTTTACCGAAAAAAACTCAGGCGCCTAAAGGGTTAATACAGAAATAAATACATGTCTTTAATTATTTGAGTTATCAGACCTCACCTTGAATGTACTGTATATTGTGGAAAATTCCATCTACATAAAGGCAGTAATGTTTTGCCACAGACTGCAGTGTTGTGAGTTTTCATGAGTGTTTTGTAGAAAGAAAAAAAAAAGGATGTATCAATTGTATCATTTAAAGTGAAATAAGAGGAAGGTAAATAGGAATGGAATGTTTATGATTTGCTAAAATTCAAATTAAGTAAGCATGGCAGAACTGTGTGTGATGGTGTTTCAATTAAGACTATTAAAAGTGATGCACCTGCCGACGCCCTGCATTAGTAGAGTCACAGGAACAAACATTTGTTCTTGTGAACCACTATTCTGCTTGTGTGGCAAGCCTGTGTGGAGTCAGCAGTCTTTAGTGAAACAGCAGGAGGGCAGCCGGTAAGAACAATTTGAGAGACTTATTGCTGGAGTTGTTTTCCAGGTTGGCTGTAGTTTAGCCACCGGCCTACAAGCATGGTGCTTTTAGGCCTCATGTTAGTAGTTTTGAGACTTTGTCATTTCTATTTTTGTAAGATGTTTAATCGAGTTAAGCTAAAAGCAAGCATTGATAAATTGAAGGAAAACAAATAACATGAACATTTGCACTGCATAAATTAGAATATTATGTTTATTCAATTCTGTTTGGTTAGTAAGACATTTAAATATTTAAGATAGTATTTTTGTGATTTTAGTCATTTAAATGATTGTCAACTGAATAAAATTCTTCGTTTTGATTGTTTCAAGGTTTTTATCTTTCCGAGACCATCCACTGCCCTAAACCTTTCTACAAAACAACAAAATAAATTGAAGACAAAAAGGAGAAGACTGTGTGGTTCTTGAGTAAAGCTCAGTTGTTTAAAGCAGTAAAGACTCATCCTTCCCTTTCAAGTGGGGATTCTACACAAATTAAGGCAAAACTTGACAATGAGCAAACAGAATTAATAGAAATAATCCAGTTCTGCTCTTCAGCATCTGCAGAGATGCTCATAAACATTTAGATGGGCTTAAACTGTGATGCTGGTGGGTTAAAAAGCAGGAATGTGACCGTTTATTAGGAAGCACTGAGCAGAGAAAATAATCTGGACATGCAGAATTTAAAACATTAGCCTTAATTGTGTTCACATAAAACCTGTTAAAAACCACAATTTCATTCATCTGCCCAAAATCATGACTTTTTCAGGAAGCACTCAGATAACAAATGTGTTAATATTACAGATATATTTAAAAGTAGCAACGCTGTTGCTCGTAGTAGCGTCAATGAGCGGCTGAGTTTAGCTGAGGGAAGATGGCTCCCAACCCACATCAGAAGTCCATGCAAATAGAACTGTTACTGCTTTCTAATGTGGGTGGGGAGTCCGCTTCACTCAGCTGCTGAATCTGGTCTGAACAGAGGATACACCAGGGATTGAAGCAAAAAATTGTGTGCGACAGGGTGCAGGTGATTATGTGGCTGAGGGCTTGATTGAGGAGGCAGAGGAGGGTGTCAGCCTGGGAGTCATGACAGTTGTGAGTTGACTGATGTTCCTTCGTATTTTTATGTTATTTGGAAAGTTTTTATTTATATATAAATATATAAAGCTCTTTTTAAATTTTATATTTTACCTTTTTTATGATTATGTGGCACACTAACTTCCATACATAATGCATCGGCATCTGTCTCTTTTTACGGCTTTTTGTTTTACTTTGTCAATACGTTTGTCACATTAGCGGCTTTTTTACCATCATTTCTACATCCATCACGTCCCAGAGAAGGTTAAACCAACATCAAACCCAACGTTTGGAGCTTGTAAACCAGCTGTCTGCAGCAGCGTCAATCGTCCCGGCTGGATGGGTGAATCTCTTCATCAGAGTCAATATTCTGCTTCATAATCTGAGTCAGTCGTTACCAGACAAAGTGATCAGACAACAGAGACCAGACCTGCCGGCAATGATACGTTTTATCTAATATTTACGCTCTTCATGCTACACGCATCTCCTCCTCTCCCCGAATGGGAGCCTCTCAGCAGGAGGCGTTTTTCAAACTAAAAACTCCCAAACTTTGCTCAGCCTGAAGGTTATACATCTCCACTATCTTCTGGTGTAAAGTAGTAACTTCATGAGGAATCATATTTGTAGATGAGCTTTGTTAAAGTCAGCAATGAGGCTTTGGCGCTTTTAATGAGTAAGTCCCAACACTGACAATGTACAGAAACTAGAAACAACATGCATAAACAGACTGATCGGTCTGAAGTGTAATGAAGTGTAATGATATGAAGTGTGTGTGATCCCTGAAAAAGCAAAGAATCCTAGAATCTTCTGATTAAACATCTAAAGACCAAGCAGGTTGATATTCTATATTTATACAGAGTATCACAGCTTATTGGTCATATGTAAATGTAATATATTAAGCTTAAAAGCAACAACATTTACCCTCCACATATAATGGCGATCCAGCCAGGAGGGTCATAGTGTCATATAATCATCCCTTGTTAAAGAGCAAGTCACCCCCAAATCTACTTTGTTTTTGCTGATAAACTAAATAAACGAGTGTCTAATCGTGCTGCAGACACGTGTAGTCAATAATTTGGCACTTCAGTGCATCTTAGTTAAAATTTAAATATTCTGCCTAAAACTGGCAGTGTTGTGCCGTTGTCAGGTAAAAACTCTGCACTGTATTTGAATTTAAATCTGCCACCGCTATTGGCTAAGAGGTATGCTATGATGTAAACTGGTGCATTATGATGTCACAATGCTGTTGTGAGCCTGTATGTGTATTTGTTAGTGGCTCCGCCCTCTCGGTCTGCCAGGCAACAGCATTTGTTGCATTTTTCAAACATGAAGTGGGAGTGGAGTTAGACTCTGGTAGGGGGTGACTTGCTCTTTAAATAGACACTTTCTGCCGCCACCTGAAGATAACCCAGACTAGAAGGGTCGCACTCACCTCCTTAAAAATAACATCCTCCATCCACTGAGCTGGCAGGGAAGTATAAATCAAGCTTAACGCTTCACAGCCAGTGGAAACACACCCAGCCACTATAACAGCAGCTAATTGCTGTGTATTATGCTTCGCAAATGTTAGGGCCCAGTAATGCTGTAATGCAGAGGTATTTCAATCTGGGCCTGGAGGGTCGTATCCAGCACGTTTTAGTTGTTTCTCTGCTCCACACTTAAGTGGTTGAATCACCTGTGCAGCAGCTAACCAGGCTTTTTAGAAGCCTGTCAATGACCTGCTGACATAAGTCAGGTGTGTTGAAACAGTTAAAGCTAAAATATGCTGGATACCAGCCCTCCAGGGCCAGAATTGAATACTCCTGCTATAAAAACTTATAATTTAACTTTACTGAGCATTGACTAATTGAGTGAGAGGAGATGCTAAAACACTTATGCAGATCTACAAACCTGAAGTAGAGAGCAAGCCGCAGTTTCACCAGTTTCATCCGAGTCAGAACTCTGGGACATCACTGCGGGGGGGGGAAAAAACAGCTCAGAGGGACACTTGGCACTTCAAATCATAGTTACAGCAATGACAAAAAATAAATAAAAATCTCTTAATACATTTTTATGTATGCCAGGGATCTCCTCAGGTTTTCAAAGTGTTGAGGTGATATCAGTAAGTGTTGCAGGAATGGAGCTCTGCTAGGGGAGTAGGGGGCATGCTCCTTAACTTTATTTATTTATATAGAAAAATTAGACATCAAAAATTGCTTTAGTGCATTTTAGACAGAAGTTTTGGATTTGGAAAATTCTATGAAGACAATTATGTACCATCTGTATTTTTAACATTTGGACTTAGTACTGTGTGACGACAAAACTGTCAGCAAACCAGGTAAAAAAACAGAAACTTTGCTACTCCGTGAAAGAGGTAAGAACAGAAAAACTATGGAATTAAAAGAGAAACGTAGAAAGAACAGAAGGAATATTTAAACACCTCAGTAATGTGCGACGTGTTTTCACAAACACTGCAGTCAAATGTCAGACAGAACTAAATGTAAATTAAAACCACACATTAATTTAAAAGAAAAGCATTTCATACTGAACATAAATCTATGTTCTTACCCACTCCTGTTTATTAATTTCCTATCTTGTCCCAGTAACATGACTTTAAATAACTTTATTCCCATCTCACACAGAACTCACGTGACCCACTAGAATCCGAAAAAAAAAAAATAGGTCAAGTTGACCTTTTGACTTCCATAAAAAACAGAAGATCTAAATAACCATAACCCATGACTGAATTTGGTGGTGAACAGTGAAAATCATAAATTTGACTAATTTTCTCTAAATTGAAACCCTAATATCACAGAAAGGGTGACTTGTTGCAGATGTTACAGGATCAAAAACTGGCTTGAATGAAAGTCAGTTAAACGTTTTTGTGCGCCAAGGCCACAAGAGAATGGAAACTTAAATCTGTCGCTACAAAATACTATTGATGCTAAATTTTTCATATTTTAGATATTTCATAACATAACCAATACCGATTCGAAATAAATAGCCCACAGGAAGAAAAAGTTGTTTATTTGGAAAATAACAAAAAAAAAATTTTTTTTCATAAATTACTGCAATGCCTTTGAGTACTCAAACTGGCATTTGATGGGTTAAAATCTTCAAAATACTGTAAGTTTTTATATGTTTGAGCCGGGCTGAAGTTGCTTAACAGATCTATGAAAAAAAAAGCTAAACTTTTGTGCATTTATCTTTTTATAACCATTTCTACGGCAGACGTTTTGACCTCTAAGGTCACAAGAGTATAGTCAGTAGGGCTGCAACAAACGATTATTTGGATAATCGATTAATCGGATGGGGTCTCGACACGATTAATCGATTAATCGGATTACATGGGGAAATTTTTAAAAACTGCTAGGGAAACGTTATTTCTCTCCTTCCTTCACTTTATTTAACACAACATTATTAGAAAACAGTTCAATAGCAGAAAAACAACATGCCATCACCTAAATTGTCTTATAAGGTGTATAGACAGAGACCCTAAGCTACATCTATCTGTGACCTAAAATGCTTGGTCCAAGTTAAACAGCTTAAGGGCAATTCTCATCTGTTTTGTTTGATCTCATCTGTTGACATTTATTTTAAATGTAATTAAACATAGGCTGTGAATTTATCAAAATTGATCACTATTTCCAAAAATGACTGAAAAAATACCAAATAAAACAAAAGTAAATGAATGCCATCCTCCTTGCGATGATGCCCTGGGCAACTGCCATAAAGTCACATCAAGAAATGCTGCTGATCATTCCAATGATCCCAAATAGACTCACATTAGGCCACATGAAAGCAACTGAACCCAAAAATATATTAACCAGTATATAACTGCACTCTCACACAACACGCCTGCAGCAACAGTTAGGACTCCTCCCTCCCTTTTAAAAGCATTTTTGCTTCTGAGGACATTGTGGTTGTAAAACCACATGCTAGTAGTCTGGCCCCGGTGTGATCAACCAGTTTCTGCGGGAATGTGACGGCGGAACCAGGGCCAGATTAACACTTTGTTGTACCCTGGGCAACAATATTCAAGGGCTCCATCATCACGACCCAAGGATCACCATAATGTGGTCACATACAGAATATTTTACTGTAATATGCAGTAAATATACTCAATACTTGAATGCCTGACAACACGTAACCCGCCCAGAGTAACCTTTGACCCACCTCGTGTGGACTGACCAATGAGGAGAGGGTCTTAACTTGAGGCCCTCTCTTCATTGGTCAGTCTGCATGAGACTGACTCTCAACTGACGTTCAGTCGTAGGCAGCGAAGCGTCTCTGTGCAGCGCAAAAGCCCGGGTGGACAGTTTGTTTAATGTAGGGTGACCATATTTCCATTTCCAAACAAGAGGACAGGGGATCTGTGCCTATGACGTCACACTATGGCAACGCCACACAAACCATGTTGGGACCCATTTTTTGTAAGAACTAAATTAATATCAGATTCTGCCAATTAAAGGGCTCTAAAACAATTCATATGTAAATATTTTGCATATTTAATGCAAAATCTAATTTTTCTGCTTTAGTGCTGCAACAAGGTTTTATTAATAATAAATTATTATACCTTTTGTTTTACTACAGCATCGGTAAGCTTCCTGTGCACAGATTATTAAGAATGCTTGTTTCAGCTGTGAGATTAGACGATAGGATCAATGAAAAAATAAGTTGTCACAAACTCCATGGAAACTTTCAGAGAATCCACAAATAGTGGCTTTCAAATGGTTTTGTTACTTTTAGCAGGTTTAGAAAAGCAGCAGATGAGACAGCATGTCTGATAATTTAGTTTTTCATCTGATAATATTAGAGCATGTCAGTAATGTCTGAGGGGCTTTTATAAACACCATATAACTAACACTACTGGAGAGGGCATGAATTACACAGAGGCTTCTGGGGAGCCCAGTTATTGGGGGGGGGGGGGGCATTTTGCCTTGGCCCCCAAAATGTCTTGAAACGGCCCTGGGTGTGTGACTGAGTTTTGAAGGTGATCTGAATTGTATCAGATGTATAAATATGACATGTGTATAACTTATTGTTTTTTACTGGTAAAAACGTGTAGTGGAGGTAAATCTACCTACATTTTACTTTTCAACACTTTGTTTTGTTTTCTTGTTTTTATTGAACTATTTTCCTGTCCTGTCTGTCTCTCATCTTCCTGCATCTCCTCATAATTCTCCAGAAAATCTGTTGCCTGGATTCTTACCTTTTCACCTCATCAGTTACTTTTGAGCAGGTCAAAGGGATCTCTTGACCGAAAAGCGCAGAGCGCGTTTTCGATGCTGCGTGAGGTGAAATCACCACAGCAGAGGTGATGAGCTCCGCAGCAGAGCGCTTCAGGCACAAATAAGACAGAAAATAGAGAACATGTGCGGACATGAACGATCGTGTGCTAATTATAGTTTTTTGGTTGCGCCACTTTGAGAATGGACCGTGCGCTGGAAGCAGCTGCCTGGATCGCTGTGCAACAATGCGGAACCGGTTCGCAGCAGCTCAAGTCTGCCGGCTCTCCCTCGCGCTGATCTGCGGCTCTCCCTCACGCTGATCTGCCGGCTCTCCCTCGCGCTGATCTGCCGGCTCTCCCTCACGCTGATCTGCCGGCTCTCCCTCGCGCTGATCTGCCGGCTCTCCCTCGCGCTGATCTGCCGGCTCTCCCTCGCGCTGATCTGCGGCTCTCCCTCGCGCTGATCTGCGGCTCTCCCTCGCGCTGATCTGCGGCTCTCCCTCGCGCTGATCTGCGGCTCTCCCTCGCGCTGATCTGCGGCTCTCCCTCGCGCTGATCTGCGGCTCTCCCTCGCGCTGATCTGCGGCTCTCCCTCGCGCTGATCTGCCGGCTCTCCCTCGCGCTGATCTGCGGCTCTCCCTCGCGCTGATCTGACTTGCTCTGGTCTGCGCGCAACGGCGGGCGGGAAGGGGGGGCGCTTTTGGAAGAGTTGTGCGACACAACGAATCGATGACGCAATTCGTTGCCAACGCTTTTAGTAATCGATTTTCATCGAATTTATCGATTCGTTGTTGCAGCCCTAATAGTCAGTTAACTCACTCACTGCCAGCCGTTTCCTGATCACTAACGGCCTTCGCTGCCAGCGTTTCTCACCGTTTTTACTGTTTTTTAAGAGTCACAGAACATTGCGCGCTAGCATGATGTCGATGCCAAAACAAAGAGGAGACTCACCTCTTACATCAGGAAGAAGCCACGTGTTTCGAGCGTTATCCGTTCTTTCATAATCTGTTGTCGAATTGTGATCGGCAGACGCTTTTCCGGTTCGCGCCTCACTTTTTTTTACAGGAACGGCCCAAAACGATCTCCAAACACATGGATGTGTTGCTTCCTGATCATGTGATCTGTGACGTATGCGGATGAAGATCGGCTTCAGGGCTGAGATGTTTGTTCTCTCAGCGCGGGGCCTCGCTCCGATGCTCAAACAGTAAAAAAATGCAAATGACAACTTTAGTCGTCATTGGCAGTGAATGAGTTAAAGTGAAGCCTGAGGGCTAAATACATTTTGGCGCTTCAGTGACAAGCAACACAGCAGCTTTATCGGTCATGTGTTTACTTCCTAAACGATACATGCACTGACACGGGGTCTCGCTCTATAAGCTAGATACAACTGTGTGAGAGATATAGATACTGCTGGGGTCAGACTAGGTGAAAATATGTAAATGGTTAAACCTTATTTGTTTATTTGTTTAAAGGTACCCCACACTTTTTTTCATGTTTAGTTCATGTGGACAGTTTTTGTCAAGAGAAGTCTTATTTACAAGATGTCACTGAACGCACCTTTGGTGTATCAGAGAACTGCTTTTGACGTAGTGTTTTTGAACGTCTCTGGGGGAGAGTCTCACCGCAGCTCCAGGCACGGAGTTTGCACGGAGCAGTTTGTGTACGTTTTATTGATAAAACTACAAAATAAAAGCCTCCTAAAGAGCAAATAACTCCAGTGGTCGTCCCTCCCGCCGAGCTGCAACATGTGCAGATGCATCAGTGGTGCTGGACCCATCACTTGTGTAAAGTTAGTAAGCACCAGAGTGAAAATAACTTGAACAGGACATGCAGTTTACACAAACTGAGGTCATGTGTGTATAGGAATCGAGAATATTCCAGATAATCACATTCAACTGTCCGGTTACGGTGACAGCCAGCCATCCTACCTGTATGCTCACAGAAATGCTGCTCAGTTTGTGCTGCCTGCTTCTTTGGGGATCTGCAACCATCCTGGGCCAGGATGTTGGTGGACAGCATGAATGGAACCCTGCCAACTGGACAAAGCTCACTTCTACCTGTAGAGTCTCGGGTGTAATACGCAAACATCTTTCCCACCAAGTCATCATTCACACAAATCTGGAATAAAAACATCATTGGCGTTTTCTTTCTAGCTTAAAGCTCTTGAATGCATTTCATTTATCAATTAAAGATTAAAAATAAGTATTCTTTAAGCTTTACCTTGACGTTGTCGATTGTCAGATACAGCTCAATCGGGGTAGAATCAGACTCCATTTCAAGCAGCGCAGCTTCTGTTTGGGTGGAGGCTGATGAATTAAAGGAGACAATGATCAGGAGTACAAAAAGTTTATAAAGCAGTCCAAGTTATTTAATCATCGGTCTTCTTTGACAGTTAGATCACAAAAGAAAATTTCATCAGTGTTGTATCATTTGACCATATTTCTAACCTAGAAGCAGGTTGTGAAGATAGAGAGTAGCAGAGCTGTTCCACGAAGCAGAAGGTCTGCAGAAGAAAACAAATCACAGCACAAATGGACGAAAGACTTTTAAAAGCCTAAAACAGTTAACTGCAACTGCATCTCACTTGAGCTTTGCCTTTTCCTTATACAAGGATATCTTCATGGTTGTTGGTTTGATTCTGGCCAGACGAAACTTCCTCACCCAAGCAGGCAACTGCAGAAAACTTGACAGTGCTACGTAGACCCTGGTCAGAAGACAGGTGAGCTCATAGAATGATTCAAGTTCACATACACAGGTTCACCTGCCGCAGTTTTCCCTCAGGTTATTGCTGAAGAAGGTAGGTACCGGCACTTACTGCTCTGAAGACACCATGATTCGTTCGCCATGATCCACAAGGAGGCAGCAAGCTTGACAGGACAAAGAATCCATGATAGTGGACTCCACCAATGCACGGCACCACAAATTCTTTACGGTCCAGAAAACCACATACACCTAGGAACACCATTGCACACAGTATGAAACACCATCGTTGGGAGTAAGACTGGGATCAAAAGGATCAGACCTCTAGAGTCGAAAGTCAGATGCAGGTGCTGGCCATTAAATTAGATTATCATAACAAAGTTGATTTATTTCAGTAATTTCACTCAAAAAGTGAAACTTGCATATCTGATTCATTCTTTACACAGGCTGATATATTAGAAATTATGGGTGGGCGATATGGAATTTTTTTTTTATTAAATTCATGATTTTGTTTTTGCAAAGTCACGATCAAGACTTCATCACAATTTTTTCTATTTCTACAATTCCAATGATTTGGAGGTTATTTACCAGTAAAATAAATAAATTTAAAGCATACCACTTCACAGAAAATAGGAGAAAAGATTTCAGAAACCTAAAGTTTATCTTTAAATTCCAATATCCAACTAATCACAGTTGAAAGCTAGAGGTACATGTCTCAAATGTCCCACAGACACTAATTATGAATCTATAATTAAATGAATGTATAAATAATTAAATTATATCTACAGGTGGCTAAAATCCTATCATGCACAATGTTACCATGTCATGACTCCCATCCTTCTCCCTCCTCTGCCTCCTCATTCAACCTTCACCTGGTCCCTTCACCAAGCTCCTGACAGGCCCTGTTTCCCTGGCAACCACAATCAACTCCATTCTTCTCACCTGTTCCTGTCATCAGCTTCATCCACTTCACCTGCTCCTGACTCCTCAGCTCATCTCACACACCTGCTTCCCCTGCTATAAAAGAACCATCCTGCTATCCAGTCTCTGCCAGATTATTGAAAACATTTGCCAGTAAATTCTACAGCCATCCACCCAGTCTGATCTCTGCCTCCGGACCTCGTTTTTTCTCCTGACCCCTTGAACTCTGCCTGCCATCAAGACCCTTGCCTGTCTTCTACCACGTCTCCAGCCTGCTCCCTGTACCTGCTTGTGCTGATCTGGTTTTGAGTCACGCCTGCCCTCCGACTCTGTCTCCTGCATCGCCCTCCTCTGGTAACTCCACAAAAAATTTATATATATTTTTTATATACTTTTACTGTGTTTGGCGTCATTACAGGTCTTCTGAGTTCTATTCGTGACATACCAGTAATTATTTCTTGTCCAGAAGAAAAAAACCCCATCATGTTAAGCTAAATTCATGATGCATCCTTATCTCATGCAACCTCTAGTCAGGATTAAACTCCTGTTATTTGGGCCTCACAGCTTTCCGTAGCAGTTTGCTCACTGAAACACAAACGAACATCCCTTAACAATAAAAGCACATCCATCCATTTTCAGCCGTTTATCCTAAGTCAGGTCATCAGTCCCTAGACTGCTTTCTCGCTGGAAGGCGTGCCAGTGGGATTGAGGAGGTCTTCGAAGTATTCCATCCACCTATCCGCAATATCCCGAGTAGAGGTCAGCAGCACACCGTCACCACTGTAAACAGTGTTGGTAGCGCATTGCTTTACCCTCCTAAGAAGATACCAGATGGTTGACCAGAATCTCCTTTAAGCCATACGGAACTCTTGCTCCATGGCCTCACCAAATTCCTCCCACACCCAAGTTTTTGCCTCCGCGAACACCCGAGATGCAGTCTGCTTGGACAGCCAGTATCCATCAACTGCTTCTTGGGTCCCACAGGCCAAAAAGACCTGATAGGACTCGTTCTTCAACTTTACAGCATCCCTAACCGCCGGTGCCACCACGACAGTCAGACAACCCTGCGGCCACAGCTCAGGCCTGCCGCCTTAATAGAAGCACGGAAAATGGTCCACTCGGACTCAATGTTCGAAGTTCTGTCGGTAGTGGGAATTGAAGCTCCTTCTGACAGGAGACTCCGCCAGATGGTCCCAGCAGACCCTCACAATGAGTTGGAGCCTGCCAGGTCTGACCGGCTTCCTCCCTCACCATCAAAGCCAACCAATAAAAGCCACAAAGCCAAATGCAAAGTTTGGAGTAGAACATTGACGGTCATTAAACATTTGGTAGCCTGAGGATCAGGTCTCTGCTTTTTGCAGATGATGTGGTCCTGTTGGCTTCGCTGGAGCGGTTTGCAGCCGAGTGTCAAGCAGCTGGGATGAGAATCAGCTCCTCTAAATCCGAAATCATGGTCATTAGTCAAAAAAAGGGTTGAATGCCTTTCTGCCCTAAGTGGAGGACTTTAAGTATCTCAGGGTCCTTTTCACAAGTGAGAATACTGGAGCATGAGATCAATAGTGGTGCGTCTGCACTGATGCAGGCATTGTACCAGTCTTTCATGGTGAAGAGAGAGCCGAGTCAGAAGGCGAAGCTCTCGATTTACCAGTCGATCTACGTTCCTAGCCTCATCTATGGTCATAAGCTTTGGGTAGTGACAGAAAGAACGAGATTGCGGATAAAAGCAGCTGAAATGAGTTTTCTCGGCAGAGTGGCTGGGCTTTTCCTTAGAGATAGGTTAAGAAGCTCGGTCATCCGGGAGGGGCTTGGAGTAGGTTTGCTGCTCCTCCACATCGAGAGGAGCCAGTTAAGGTGGCTCTCGCATCTGTTCAGGATGCCTCCTGGACGTCTCCCTGGTGAGGTTTTCCGGGTACGTCCAACCGGGAGGCCTAAAGGTAGACCCAGGACACGTTGGAGGGACTATGCCTAACACCTGGCCAGATAAAGCTGTGAAGGTTGTAAAGGTGTGTGGTTCTCCACAACTACCTGGCATACTGCGATAATGCAAACACACCAGAGAGCCGATACATCCCACCCACTTTCGCTGACAGCGACTCGGCAGGAGTGGTGCACCCTGGAGACTGGCGGAGAATGGTAGGCGGTGACTCCAATCTGCTACCGGTCAACACAAGGATAATGTGCAAGAGCCGCTCAAACAGGAATGCCGTTTGTGTGAGGAATGAACTGACAATTCTTTTTGTCACCAGCAGGAGCTGTGTCCTGGCAGGAGGAGACTGTGTCACGTGGCACACTCACAAACTAGATTTTGTCCATCCTAATCATAGCGCCAGGTGGTAGTGTTCCGTTTTTGTTTCTGTTAACCAGGTCTATTTTCTAGTGCCTTGTTCACTGCTGTTTAAATGATTATACAGCTTATATTTTGTTATGCAAGTGCTACTCCTAATAAGAATAAACTGTTGTAGTGGAATTAACTACAAATTGAAGCTGAGTGAATAAAACCTTTAAAAGTTCTCCACTAAAAACCTAAATTTATCTTGGGGCATGATTTTTTTTTTAAAGAATATGTGTTTACCGTATATGCTTTTTGGAGCCTAGTCAATGAGTGCAAAATAGTGTGCAAACGGATGCCAAATAACTGAAAATGAAAAAATAAACTGTAAATGGAAGAAAACAGACTTTGCTTTTAATAGAAAAGAAACATGCAAATGAAACACTTCTACTGGGAATAAAAATTTAAACATGCAAATAAAACAACTTGAAACACAAACACATTTCAATCCTCCAGAAGGTCGCACACACACGATACAAGGTTGCGCCTGGCCACCACCTACTTATATTCAGGGACCCTCCTCAGTATGTCCGCTAGAGTCTGCCCAAATCGGTCATATTCATCATCCTTCTGCAGTCTCTCACTAAGCTCTTTCCTACGTCTGTCAATTTGGACCATCTGTTCAGAATAGTCATCCAAATGCTGCTGGCGCCGCCTCTCTTTGAGAGCAGGTCGTGGTGTGCTGGTGGACTCTAGCAACTCATAGGCTGTTTGATGATTCGTTGAAGTGGATTCTCGGTCAAGGGAGGCATGGAGAGATGGAGATGATTATGCTGAAGATGATGATGAATGTGATGAAACAGGATCCAGTGAGGATTCATCCTGCTGTTGTTGAGAGGCAGGCAGTGAAGACCACTGAATGATGCAGGTGGGGCCTCATCCTGTGAGGATCCACACGAGGCCTGGTCCTGAGGTGGTTCAGTTGAGGCCAGTTGTTCAACAAACACAGGCATATAGTTATCTCTTTATTACTTACATACACTGGTAAAAACAAAATGCAAATATACTTAGTTTAGTTTAATATACTCCGTTTAGGTAATCACAATAGTATAGAAAGATGAATTTGGATGACTTTGATGAAAGCTTTCAACTAGAACTGCAGCTAGTTAGCACCATGTGTAGCTGGAAGCACAGACAAACAGGAAGTACAAAAACAGCGTGCTAAAGTAGTTACCTTGAAATTTGAAGATGTGGGTCTATGCTTTATGTGCGGCTCCAACCACGAAAGCAAAAAATAAAAAGCCGGAACCTTTTTGCCACCTGGATCGCCACTGGTGCCCCTTAAGGTTTGTTAAATTCAGACAAATTTGTCCCGCATGCTCCTCCACTAGGGCTGTAGGTAAACGATTATTTTCAAAACGATTATTCTGGCGATTATTTTATCGAATAGTCGACTATTCTAATGACTAATTAAATGATTAATCTTATGATTGTTTTTTTTTGCTGTACAATTGATTAAAACCAAAATATTTTAAAGAAATACCCCCAAAATTGTATAAATGGCTTTATTACACAACAATTTTCCAAAGTCAAACATCTTTTGCTTAAAACAAAATAAAAGCAGTATTATTATTGGAACACAGTTCCAATAACTCTAGTTTTAGTGCAAAACAGAACACTGTGCAGGTCACAGCATGAACATCCCTGAGTGTTTAACACAAAAAAACTGTTTAACAGTCTCTAAAGGAAGAGCACCCAGTTTTACAGCCTGAACAGAAAAAATTGTTGTATAGTTTTAAAAATGCAGTGCAAAACAAAACACTGTGCAGTGCACAGCACACATTCCTCAGTGTGTCCCAGTTATTGCAAAATGAAACTGAACCGTTATTCTGTTAGTGTATGCAGTTTAAAATATTTTTATTTTTTTCCCCTCCCACATCTCCACACTGTACTACTCCTCTGCACTGCCTACTCTGAATTGCTGTGGAGGAATGTGAGCATGTCCACATGCTCTTTGGTGAGACTAGCTCTTTTTTTGTTGACAACTGTCCCTGCTGCTGAA